AAAAAAAAAAAAAAATCATCTAAATAAAAACAAAGCAGTCATTTCCAATTATATGAACAATAACAACTGACAGTAACACCAGTTGTCAGCCCGTTTAATAATAACTGAAGCTTAACTTAGAAACATTTAACTGTGACATCTAATCATACCTTCCGTTACACTAAAATAATACGGCTTATTATCGTCCAATTTGCCATAACATAACCAGCAAACTAATCTGTTGTGCAATTCGTGCTCAATTTTTTCTTGCTAACTTTGTCCACAAAGAAAATTTCTGTGTTGGCAAAATTCCGGCTTAGTCAGGCAACTGCACTGGCTTTTAGCCATACCGTTATCAGTTAGTCGGTACAGGAAGAATGATTAAACGTACCCGGTTACAGTTTGTAAACGTAGTTTACAACTAATTTACTTTTTTTATCTGTGTATGCATAGATTCCACTGACCAGTTATAGCTATACAAGAGCACATTTTTTTTTGCCTTAAATACATTGAACGACTACCATTGAAACATTCAAAAAAAGTTAACCATACCTTAGGAGGATCATTCCTGGATTAAATTTTGGCAAATTTTAAAATTGAGTATGCAGTACCAATTATTTGTACTGCACAAAATATTCACATGTTTGTTACACATACAACGATTTTGTAAGCGGAATTTTTTGAGCAGAAGCAGGAGGTTCAGAAAGCGGCGGTTCTTTTCTTTCCATCTGCAATAAAAGAATTAATGGGTGGAAAATTCGTGTGACATTACGCATATCAATGAGTAATATTAAAAACTTTATTTAATTCTTCTTAAAACTTAGTCTGTAAGTCGGAAAGGGTTTCACAGTTTCATTCAAATTTCTATATTTGTTTTTTGAAGAACCTTTATTTTTATTCATCTATTCTTGTAGTGAGGAAACAAGCTTTTCTAAACTTGCGTCATCACAGCACAACTATTTTTCGTTCGCTAAATAAGCCTAAAAATTTTGTCAGTACAATGCTTTTACAAAGACTATGTTGTGATCCCGTTATTCTTCTAAACTGGGCCAAAATACACTTCAAAATACAGTAGTAAATAGAGAAATGTTGTCTGCTTTACATTCGTTGCTCGGGAAGACATTCAAAATTGTCATAATTCTTATACGATCCATGGATTTGTAGGAGAAGTGAAAAAGTAAAAACGACTTGTAAAATAAAAC